CTGTCATAACTGAGTTCCAATTTGCCCAATTCTTTGATATTCCAAATCCCATAAATTTTAACAAGTTTCAGTTATTTATTCATTAGTTAGCGGGGTGTTCAAACACTGGAATCCGCATGCTTGGGAAGGGGGCTTACAATGCAGATTTCTCATTTTTGGAGTTTAGTGGACTCATATCAAGATCTTCCTTCCCTTCCTAACACCAGATGACCTTCCAATGATGATCAGATGATCATACATTTATGATCTTATAGGCTGAGAAAATTAATCTCACTGTAGTTGGAGTAAATGGAGACACGCTGGGCTCATTGACTATTTTTCTCTTCCAGACCTGTTTCCAAATATTTTGAAGGAAAAGAGAGAAACTGTTTGCTTATTAGAGAGTAGAAAACCAAACAGTATCATGAGCCCCAAACATCTCTGGCAAAGGACTAGCTCTGCTACATGACAGAGAAATGATAAGTGAAAAAGTTTTGAGTTATTCTTCATTCTTAGCTGAAAAGATGCTTCAGTGTGGTCTGAGGTAGTGACAACGCATGAGATGATAGAAATGGCTGAGACAAGAATTGCTAGAAAAAATGTTTCTAAAACTCCCCATATTCTAATGTTCTTTCTCAGATCTGGACAAGGCCAGGTCCACTGAAACTTAGACAGCGCACACGATTTATAAAGCAATTTTTCCTGTAACTTCTAGAATCAGTTATGCCTCGATACTGAAAATCGTCTCAAACAAAAAATTTCATGTTTCCTTTGCATTATTTGTCTATTCAGGCCTTAATTTCCCACTAATATTAGATACTGTTTAAGCAAGCTGGATGATCTCTCCTGTATGAGAAGACAACAGTCCCTATGACAAAACAGGTATTGCAGCCATCTTTTTGACACGTATCTACTAGATGCTTCAGAACAGATCATGAGAAAACCACTATCACTCCAAAATATAGTACTCTACAGATCTCTCAGTATATTTTGATACAAAAGTAGGCAACAAAAGCACAAATGGTAACAAGCTTTCAAGAAAAAAAAAAAAAACACCAAAAAACAAGCCGAAAGCCAACTTTGTAAGTCAAAGTAGCCATGCAGGACAAGGTGATAGGATTTTTTGCATCATACGCAAAGCCTAAAAAGTTACATCCAGACCTGTTTCTCCTTCAATTCTTTAAACTACTAAGCCTCTTCACCTCAGTCTTTCTCTGCAACAGAATCGCTGTTAGAAGAAAAATTCTTGCAGTCATTTGATGGGTCTCACTGACTAACAATGGGTTTTTTCCTGAAAATGAGAGTTATGTTCTCTGGAATGAATTAATCTCAAGAAGTGTGATGAAACTCTTTGTGGGGTTGAAACCTTGGTAAATCCATGAACGGATTAAAATGAATTGTTGGAATATGTTTTCTATGGTCTGTATTTTTTTCACTTATGCAATACCATTTATTATATTATTTACTGAGCAACGTCATCATTACCTTTGAGGGACAAACTCAGTCCGCGATGAAGTCTAGAATACAACTTGTAGGTGTTTTCCAAAGGGGGAAATGACAACACAGATATTCTGATCTCTTCAGGTTACCTTGGCCATAGTGTTAGCAATGTACATGGAGGTCCTCTTCAACCATGTTCCAAAAAACTAAGAGAACTGGAATTTTAGCTCATTGGTGGTTTTGGGTTTTTTTTTTGTACACTCACAAAATAAGCTGTAATCTGGCTTTACAGTGACTTAGGTATGGTAATACATAGTTTAACATTCCAAAGTGAAAGCATTTCAGGTGTTAAAAAAAATAGTCAGTTCAATCTCCTATTGGCTTTCACTGTAAAGCCTTGAAATCTTAATGACAACTGAGTTAAATCCACATTATGAAAGTTCATGGAGATTTCATTAGAAGTATGTACAAGTCAGTGAAAAAAATGAGGAGGGATTTTGAAAGAAAGTCAAGTTATGTTGGTAGACTTAGTCTGCAATTTTAGAAACCGGATCAGAGTTGCATGAAGAGGGAAGAACTCTCCTTCAGGCTTGTTTGTGCAGATGACACACAAATCTGACACACTCAAAATTCTATTTATAGACCCTCCATCTAAACCGAGGACTTGAATATAGCAGCAGAGCAATCACTTTTACTGGGCTTTCCTTGCCAATAAGTTTGACACAAATATGCTTGCACAAAAGGTAAACCCTCTCCTTCCAAGCTTTATAGAGAATAGCAACATCTTCAAACTAATTCTGCACTCTGAAATGATATAATCTATCTCAGAATGAAAACCAATGTTATGAGCACTATTACTTCTTCCATCGTTCATGGTAAGGCTGAAGCTGTTCCTGAAGTTTTACATACATATGTTTTCCTATTTTCTTTAATCTTTGAAAGTATCTAACATCAACAGGCCCTATGAACCTATAAAGCCCTGAACAACCTGGTCTCATAGCTGATCTTACTGCGAGCAGGAAGTTGGTCTAGAAAATTGCAGAGGGGACTTCCAACATGAACTATGGTATAATTCTATAATACTAAAATGTGAAAATTATGTGAAGATTGTGTAAAAATAATGTGAAGATTAATCAAATAAGAACATATCCATGGCTCAAAATAAAATTGTTCTCTCAAAAATACATCTCAGTACAATTCTAAAGGAAAGTCTACCACCGTAAGCCCATTCTTATAAAGCACACTTAGAGTTAATAACATTCCCTTTAAAAGCTAATCTAAGTTACATTTTTTCTGCAAGGAAGCAATAATACTGGAAGAGACATCATAGTTTGTCATTATCTTATGTCATATTCCAGAGAGAGTTCAAATTACTTTACTGAGAAAAGTCACCTGGTTTCAACTTGAGCAGTGCTATAGCATCTGTTAAAGGTGGCTGCTGTGGCAAACATCACCATTATCCCCACCAGCCTCCTACTCTAATACAGAGAAATTAATCCGGAGACATGCAGGATCCCCTGTTTACCTGTGTAATACGTGCAAGGACAACTTCCTCCATTCCACATCAAGAAGTACATGATGAGATTGAATGGAGAGGATATAACCTTCTTAGACTAGCATATTGCTTACAGGGATCAAGTTACACTTGTAAGATTGATACAACTAGAAGCAGTAATGAACGAATACCTGTGCTCAGCTGTTACCAAAACAGTATACGGCGAACTAGCTTTTTAGAAGAAGAAACTATTATGGTACCCACACAGCATCTTCAAGTACTTGATGTGACAAGGCCTATCTGTATTATGTTGTCATTACCTTTCACAACTTATGGAAGAAAAATTTAGGAAAATCTAGGTGTACTCTTGCATAGGCAATACAAAGAAGACAGTTAGGAGAGGCTGCTTGTTTACTAAAAGGTTCTAGAGAGGTATCTTCTTGCACAGCATCTAGCCTATCTCAACAACTCAGTACTGAAGCTCGCTAGTAAGCAGCCCTTATTTCCCACATACTTTTCATTGAAGAGAGGCATCATTCTATTCTGTTCTCACGAAAAAGGTCTGTTGTGTCCATTAAAAAAAAAGGTTTATCCAAAAGAATTTTGAAAGGATTGGGAAGTAAAACTTGGTGGAAGGCTTCCATTTCATAAAAAACTTTCAGATTTATTTCCATACAGAATAGAAACATCCAAATGTCTGGAGGAAAGAAAACTCCAAATGCACATAAAACGAAAATGTGTTGTCCTCAAAACCTCAAAGGCGTTATCTACTCAATATAGTATATATATACATTTTAAAATATAGGAATCAAAAACCCCTCTAATATGTCAACATCACCAAAACAAAGTGAGAAAGAGAAAATAATTAAGATACTTCTCACCTGAAGAACTCATCAAAATGAACATATTGATTCTGATTTTGATTAAACCGCATTTTCCAGCAGTAATTTTTCAGCCAAAACTACTGAGAAGAGCTGAGCAAAGTCTTACAAAAGCAGGACAAACAAACATTCCAAAATTGAGAACTGGATGAAAGATTTACCATCAGACTGTCTGAATCCTGATTACCATTTGAATCCTTGTTTTTATCTCCTTTGATGATAAAATCAAATTTTTATGACTGTGCCTATGAAGTTTGGTGGGGGCAAAAGGGGAGGAAGGAAAATGAGGCATCAGTTTTGTCAATCTGGGGGACACAGTCATTAGTGAAAGTCAGTAATAATAGCGGGGGAAAAAAAAGGGAAAGGGGAGAATTTTGGAGAAAAGTGGTTGCTATCAATGTGATCTCTGCTTGGGACAGAGAATTAGATCCGCCACTGTAGGCCTGTAGCCCTGTTCGTAGATACTGTCCTCTTGGTTCACTGAGCTTGCTGAATTTCAGTTTACTACCAGAGGTTACAGGTTCCTCACAACATGAAGCAGATATCTCAGAAATTGCATGAAATACTATGAGTTTGCCTGCAGCAGTTCCTCTTGCTGGAACTTCAGAGAAGAAACAGCAGAGAAATAATTTTTCGCTTCTGTTCAGGCCTTTACTTGCAGGAAGCATAGGTTTATCCCAGTCAGATTTTTACATAAGTCTCCCTCCATTTCATACCCACGACACAGGCACCTGTGTTAGCCTGCCAGAGAACTGTCATTTAACAGACACTCATTACCTTCCCTATCACTTCATCAGGTTTTGATGAGCCTGATTTAACTTTGAAATTAGCCCTGTGTTGAGCAGGAGGCTTGGTCTAGAGAAGAAAAGTTCTCCATAGAGAACTACTATCAAGCTACCCTCATAAAAATAGCAAACTCTGAATTTGTGAGGTTAATGATTATCTGTATTTCGTGGAACTTCATAGTTAAACAGATTGCCAAATAACTTTTTCTTTGATACGAAATATAATTATATGGTCTCTATCATAAATACGAATTCCTAATGTCCTGTGACAAAACATTTGATATAGCACATGCATTCATTAAAATAAAAGGTTTTCAAAAGATTTGCTAATATTTGTAAAAACAAATGATTCTTAAAAATTAATCTTACGACAGCTACGAAAATGACCACAGACACAAATGCAAAAAAGTCTGCACTTACAGTTCTATTGCCTTGTTCCACATGATAACATATCCAGAAAGAATGAAGGACTCGATATTTACAATGTGTGTATTTCCCCTCTCTGTTCCAACATAAAGCCATTTACTCTGGAAAGGTAGATGGCAGTAAGTAATCCTGGAAAGGAAAAACAAAAAAAGTGACTTAATATCGTATCAACAATATTTTTTAACACTTTTGCAGATAAAATAATTGTTCTTTCCATTCTATAACTTGAGAAAAGCCTGCCCAGCAGGCACAGCATTCTGAAGAATGTGCAGGTTTTGGGGGTCATCTCCAGAAAAACCATAAAAAAAGAACATGAAACAAAACAGGGCCATCCTGCCTGCCTGCCTCTATTAAGGGCAGGAAAAAAGAGCCACATCACTTCAGCACTGAACTAAGTCATGTTATCTCCATGAGTATGTAAATTGTGCTATGATAATGTCCAAGACTCTCAAGTTAGGCTTGCTTATTTTCTTTCTTATTTCCTTTCTTAGAATAAGCATTTTTTCCAGTTCAACAAACTTAATCGACATCAGCGGGATTAATGTTTTGTACAACAGAAGTGTAACACCATCATTCACACAGGAAAACATTCACTTTCCTGTCTATCGGGGAGTGCAGGGCACTAGATAAGAGCATTACTGAGTGCAGTTAAGTTTTATATCCTAGACACACTGGATCCTACACTCATATCATTCTTACAGGGTGATGAACCAGTGCTGTATTAGCTTGGAAAGATGTCATGACAGTTTCTCATGATAGTATATAAAAGTTTTCACAGATGATGAATAAGTAGATTCAGGTTTCTTTGATATCATAGTTATTGTATAGATATTACATACATTCAAGCAAAGCTAAATCTATAAGAATTAAAAAAACCCATTTGCTGCTAAAATATAATGGAATGCATGCTACCTACAGAGACCGAAACTTAATCTGATCTTATGGTAGAGCCTCAGAAATTTTGACAGAAAGCAGGTATTTTGCTTAGTATGCCATACGTTGTTATATTTATCATTCAGTTCCACAAGCAGGCTATTTCTAGCTTTTATATACAAACTTGATTTAACAGCTATGTAATAATTTTTATCCTTAGCACCTTCCTCCCCCACAAATGTATAAACAGTATTTAAGAACATACATATTTCAATTTTTTATTCTTATAGTACAGCAATCTTTCTGAATTAATTATAAAGGTGTGAGAGGGCTGCTGGCTATTGTCCAGTTATTTGGCCCTCTCAGTCATGTAAAGTCCTCTGAGTAGAACATTTGCCATCCTTTGAATGAAAGGAATTATTTAATATTTATACAAATTTCATATACTTTCTGTAATTGTTCCCTGTAAGATACTCTCAACAAGATTCCGAACAGATTCTATACAGTATTTGGACAGTTCTGCGGTTTTCCAAGTATCTAATCATGTGTCAGAACATTAACGCTGAATGCATTCAAGTGAGCAAAAGCGGGGTTTTGGCCTTATTTATCACACTGGATTGAACACAGTTGAAATATGCAGTCTTCACATTCTAATTTATGGGGGAATTTATCACTGAATCATGAATCCAGAATAAGGCTTACCCTTCACAGAAATCTTGTTTTGTGGATTCAAGTGAGACTTAAGTATGATATAGGCTTTGTGCTATCCATCTGTACAAGGTTAAATTTTACCATTAGTTGTCTAATTTTGGCAATAATTCCACCGGCTTTAGTGGAAAGAGAACAAAGTTTTTCAAGAGAATTGCTTTGAGAGTGGGAATTACAGTTTAGTATGCATAACTGAAAATGCCTTCCAGCAGCAACTTAGTACTTACATTGTGGGTGCAGTCAGATTGACAAATATCTGACAGAAAAAACTGCAGAAGGTGTATGCCACCTACATATTCCTTGCTGGAGTTAAAGCTGTTAGCTTTATTGTTCTGTCCATAACAGATGCAAAGAATAATTTGCCCTTTTCACTTTGTATTTTTACAAATGCGAAGCTGGTTTTCACATTTTTCCTGATCCTTCTCCTTAAACTAAACAACTCAATTTCTTTTGCTTTCTCTTCAGACACACCATTTCCTACACTTCTGGTTAGATTCATATTTAGTCCTTTTTTTATTATTATTATTTTTTTATTTTATTTCTTGCATTTCTGTACTAGCTCTACTTTTCTTTCTTGCACTCCAGAACATATGCATTCTCTGTTAGGTCCCAGTCCATGCAAAAACCTCCCTAGTCCCTGGTTGATAAATCCTCTTAACCACTTCACACTGATGTTCATTCAGCACTTGTTTGTTGTAAACTGCTAAATTACGGGAAGAGAAAACACTTGTGACTTTGGAAGTGTTGAAAGTGTATCTGTCTGGTGACTGACAACTCACTCATGAATTACAAAGTGAACCCTAGTTGACTTGAATGCTGCTACTCCAAATTCTTGACGTTGTATCACCAGACTAAGCAGGTTCAAGTCCACCTAGGACCATATTAATTTTCAGTACTCTGATAAATCCATTCACAAGCCAGTATGGTGTACTGCAGAAAACTTGGTCTCCAAAGTGTGAGACTGAATCCAATACTCTAGCTGCGAATAAAGTCTCAAAATCACCTCGGACACAATATGAGGCTGCTTTAGTCTTTTTTGCCTTTTTGAAATTTGCCTCTGGGTTACGATCTCTAGCATGCCACAACAACCGTCAGACTAAATGGGTGTCTAATTTCCCAGCTACCGCATGTCCTCCATTTGCCCGCCTTGGGTTTAAAATGTCAAGAACATAATGTTTCAAGAGCAAGGTCCTACAGTAAGAGAAAAATCAGACTAAAGTACTAACCACTGGCCATCCGTTACTAGCCTTATTTTCCTGCTGGCCTATCTGAAATCTCAGGCACCAGTAGCTACTACGTCTGGATATATAGTATGAAGGACCAGAAGAGAATTAGGTGTTGCTAAAGAATGAAGAAAAGGACCACAAATTTTACTGTTTTCTTAAGCTCAGCTATTTCATCTCTAAATAATTTCATTTTGTTTTGATAGATTTATGGGACAGCCAGATAAGAAAGTATTCTGCACGTTCTTTCTTCCACAAAGAAATCTACCCTATGAGTCTTCATTGTTTACCCAAGCTGTTATCACACATTATCAAATAGCACCTTTTACAATACACGAGCTTATAAGAAAATGCTATTCCCTTAAAGACAATCCAGATCCAGATATGTATCAAACCTATTAGAGCATAGGGATTACCAGGCGTTTTAATACGATACATTGTAAGGCTTCACCAAACAAAGCCATCTGATTTTCATATTCTCAGGAAAGTATGCGCTGCTCTGAAGTAGTTTTCTTTTACATTATGTAAATGAAATGCAAACTGCTTTATGTATTATTGACTTTTTACTTTTACAGAAAATATTAACGTGACTTTGAGGCTTGAAAGCTTTGAAGCAAGACTCAGATTTTTAATGAACATATTCCATTTCAGTAAGTACTGAAATTACATAATGATTTCTTCAAGAGAAAACAATGAAGTCTCATACTGTAGTTTTCATTGTGGATGAAAGGTATCCCTCTGTTAGTCAGGTATCCCACAAGCAAATTAAGATGTCCTTTGATGCCTTTAAAAAAACAGTCAATTAACCAGAAAGAAAGGCTATTTTTCTTCTTAAGAAGGTAGGGGTTGTAGAGATTTATGCCAGCATGAAGTGCTTCTGCCAAAATTTAATCAGATTGTCAATCTGATTGAGATAACATGGAACCCAATTAAACGGAGACCTGAGAATTTGCTCAACGTTGATCACTTACAGAAAGTCAGCCAGAAATGTGGATATTATACATTCTTAGCAGCAAACCACAATATGAATCTCATTGATCATTATAAGAAATAGTAAAAAAACAGGGACTGATGCCAAAAAAGGTTTTCCTATGCTGCCAAAATGGTCTGGAATATTGTATCAGTTTTCCAATGTATTCAAAGCACAAAACAGGATATAAAAAGTAATTTAAAAAAAATCAATAGGTGCCAATTAAAACACCTAAATCAGAATTTCTCAAGCAAAAACTCTTTAGCAAAAGTCCTGAAAACACTTCTAAAATTATGTAAGCAATATAAGAGAGACAATGGAATAACTTAAAGAGGCATTGTCAAAAAATTGAACCTCACTTTAGAAAGGAATATCTTCTGACTTGAATCTTGAAAAGGTATATTTTTCAGAAAATCACAGCACTCTACAGTCTAACAACTCTGACCAAAAAAGAAATCATTGCATATTAGTAGACTACTACAATGTTAAAATAATTTAGATTGCTACATTCTCTGAAATAATAGTAAAAACTCTCAGAGGGCTTAAAATCATCTTTATTACACTAACCATATCGTTCTAAGAAAAACAAAAGATAATTTTGAGAACATTTCCTTCTGCCTCTGCTTTGTTATTTTTGTTTTTCTATCTTTAGTATGAAAAAACTTCCTGGAACACCGTTACTGGTGGAGGGTGGGGAGAGCTGCGGAAGAGGGGAGAATAAATTGCATTTTTGTCAAAATGATGACCAGTTTTTCCAATTTAATTATTTAATTGCTCATTCCTTGACATCAAAGCTGCAACTAAATTTATATTTTCCCCTCTCCCTTAACCTTTTGGTGTTTTTGAACAAAAGTAATACGAAAAGTCCTCACTGACATAGAAAGAAGACCAGAGTCATCTAGTGCCCCTCCTTCTCCAGCGGCTGAAAGCAGGCTGGCTTTTCTGAGGGAGCTTCTGGCTAGCCAGTATTCTCAGAAAGTGTCGGGTTGTTTTTCTGTCAGTTCACAAGCGGCTGTTATAGCTGAGTTTATTGCTTTAAGCCATGAAATGCACACAAGAACATCAAGACAGATATTCAAGCAAAGTAATTTGAAGCTGACCTGAAGTGCTGAAATAGAAGCATGGGCTAAGGCTATAGACAATGAAGAAAAGGAGCTGTCTCCAGCAGGTCACACAAAAGATGCAAATAATGAGCTATTTGGCCTCTGGAGGTATTTAGTCTTCTCCCTGGACTACATATAAATTTGGAGCTCATCAGCTACGTAAGCCATGTAAAAGACATGCGCGACAGCAGCAATCCATGCAGTCTGCCATTCGTATCAGGTGATGTGCTTGCAGCAGATGGTTGTGCAGTT